AACGCCGCCATTTTGAATTTATTTGGTGTAAGCTTAATTAACGCGCATGCTTGTCAGCCATGTTGTCCTTCATTTCTGGCCATGCGTACTTCCAATTTTGATTTAGACAGGCGTGCTTTTCATGAGCCGTACTTAATAATTTGCGCTGCTTCACTTCGAAACCTGGGGCGAGTGACATTTCATAATAAGACAAAAAGGTTTATCACATACAATCTTGGCATTTCTGAGCGTCTACAGGTTTGCGGTATTAAAAATTTCAAATGCTTTTTGAAAAGCCTTATTACCACAAACATAGCATAATGCCTGGATATAATGTGTGGGAAAACGAGACCTATAGCCTTAGGGCACTGGCGTAGCCAGCTCGATAAGTGGGGGAGGGGGGCATATTCACATATTCGTATTCACAGATCGTAAAGACAATCAATTTAAAAAGAAACTAATAATGCAGAACACGAATTATCGAGCTGGCTACGCCACTGGTGTAGGGCGAGTTTTTTCCACGTTATTCGAGTTCCGGCTCAAACTACTACAAGTGTTTCTATAACTGTATGGGTCACACATAATAAATGTTGTATATTTGTTTCATAATATAACTAAAAAAAGATTTGTAGTAGACACGATATATTTACAAATTCTCATTACGTAATAATGCCGACCTTTGCCCATTAATTACGTACACTGCAAGAAACCCTTTTATAAAATAACATGTATATAACGCGTGTTCTGATTGGTCGAAACCCGTGTTTGGATCAGGCCATCCAAACACGGAAGACTATCGTGTTGTTGTTATTTTATAAAACAATTACTTTATGGTTTCCGTGTTTGGATGGCCTGATCCAAACACTTGGGAATGTTGCTCGAGTTAAGAAAAGCGGGCAAAATCACTCGCCTTCGGCTCGTGATTTCGCTCGCTTTTCTTAACTCTCGCAACATTCCCGCGTGTTTGGATCAGGTCATCCAAACACGGAAACCATAAAGTAATTGTATATTGCCTTTACCAGCAAATATCGCTATAAGCCTTAATTACGCAACTTTTATGCAAAGAATCTAACGAAATGTGTATCCTTTGCTACAAATTGACGTATATAAAGAAAAGAAAGGGAAATTCTAGCGCGAAATTTGCCGATAAGGCCCATTAAAATTGATTTGTTTACGATTGTAAGTTTAGGCAGGAAATTTCCCGTGTAGAAACACGCTTCTCGACCAATCAACGCTCGCGTACTATAAATGTTCTATATTATCATAATTTATGCATTTGGTACGGCTCATGTAAAGCACGGCAGTATAAATCAACATGTGCTTCAGCCGTGTAGCACGTCTGAACCCGGCGAACTTATTAATTTAGCCGTGCTTAATATTAAGTGCAGTGCTTAATTGATTTAGACGCCGTGCTTCTCGTGTGCTTAATCTATTGTATTAAGTTCGGCTCATGAAAAGCACGGCGTCTAAACCGGGCCTAAGCTAGCGGTTAATCGCCTCATATTGCAAAGCTTTTGGAGATTGTTAAAAGTTTCAGTTGCAACCAAGTCCTGCAGTAGTTCTATTCCTTTTTTAACCGTTGTTTCTTCGCTGAAATCCGATCGCCGATGAAGCGATCTGTAATGGACATAAAGTCCATTTTTTAAAAATATTTCGACTTTCCCATATTCTGTAAAACAAACATGACAACACGTTTCACTCCCATTCCTCCATTCTAACAATAACGCGTTTCCAAAACAAGAGTGTTTTAAGTCAAGTTTTTCTACTAAATTTGCGTAGTCGATAGATATAAACACTTTTGACAGTTTTGAGAATAACAAATTACAATTACATGTAACAAGAACAATTAACAAATTTCTCACAAACTCCTCCCCCCCCCCCGGTATTTTGAACTATTGGGCGTGACTTCTGGCAGAGGTTTCCCGCTTTCTTCGATAACACCGAAAACCGAAACCTCTGCGGAGGAGAGAGCGCCAAGATCACCAAACTGTATTATAGAAGAGCCGGCCACGCTGGCTAACTGTATTACAAAATACACCCTTTCGATAATTACACATACTTAGTTGGTCTTGGAACCTCGCTCTCATTGGTAAATTACACAAGGTGATTAGCGTAATTATTGAAAGGTTGTATTTAATTTGCTAGTAGTAGAACAAATATAGCTAGCCTGCGTAACGTGTCTTATGAAACAAAACCATTGGGTAATGGCAATTCCCCGTACTCCGCATTTTTTTGATCGAGTCCTGACTCGAGTCCTGGCTCGAGTCCTGGCTCGAGCAATAGTAATATCTCGAAGTGAGGTTACATTTCCAGAACTAGATACAATTTTATCCACATATACTAACGGAATATAATGACAAATAGCTGCTAATACAGTCAGTATAATCTAGAGTATAGGTATATTATAAATGTGAAGACTTGGAAAATATAACGCATGAGCCTTGATCAATTTCCTTAATTTAATTTAGGCCTATTTTACATTGGTGTTTAAAATATACAAACACGGACGATTATACAAAAATGGCGTTTCACTCTCATGAGAAATTTGGTTATAGGTAATATGTTATCTCTTGGAGGTGAAAGAGTTCTGAAAATCTCAGGACTTCAACTTAACGATACTCCTCATACCGCGTATGGTTTTGGAGGTTTAAAGCGTTAGGGTGTGCGAGAAACAGTTGATATTTATATATTTTATAACATCATGTCTGCACCGGAAGTGCACATGTTCGATTGACAGTTTCATATTCATATAAATAGTTGCTAGAACGTTGTATTGTAATAAAATGGACAGCCTTGTTGTCTCTGAACGAATAGCTAGTCAACTCGGCTTCGCCTCGTTGACTATTCGCTCATAGACAACTCGGCTTCGTTGTCTAATGGTTAAAAGCCTATACTTGTGTCCTCAGTGCAATAAGGCAGCACCAGGGTCGCCAAGAGCTTGGCCGGGGGTCCGGGGCAAAAAAAATTTTAGGAGCCCCTATTTCCAAATTTTTTCCGGAAAAATTGTTTTTCGGACAACAACAACCCATCTCCCCCCCCCTTGCAACCTGTTTAGGGAAACAAATTTCAAGGACGAGTACGTTGTAATTGCTTTCCAGCGACTTTACCTCAAATTTTCATACCACATTTCGGTACTTTGCCCAAAAAACCAAATATCTTGCACTTAGCGCGGAAATATCCCCCCAAAAAATGACTGGGCCGCAACAAAACATTTCTAGGGGCCCCCAGAACCTGAGACCCGGGGCAATGTGCCCCCCCCCCCTTAGAATACTGTCTTTATACTTACAAATCGGCCAGCAATTTCTTGTTTTATCGTTTTTGAAAACGTTGCGGAATTATATTTCAAGACATTGTCTTTTGCACATTTTATGAACCACGCTTTTACTACTGAATAGCTACCGAAATGAGACAATTAAGGGTTTTGATTTATAATCTCTAACTATTTAGCATCACAAATTACCAACTATAATACTTTGCTGAAAATGATGTAGGTGTCTTGTGAGTTTTGTGCATTTACGTCAGTACGCCAACCAAATATTTGCTACCATGTCAAACAGTAGCTATAGCTACTGCATGCAAAATTTTGAACTCAAAGGTAATACGAGTAGATCAAAAGTATCCTGACAATATAGTTTCAAGTTAATGATGAAAATAGATACAGAAGCAACTTCAGGCGCTGTAATGAACGGATTTAGTTAGTTTTGGGCGATATTTGGACATGTTCGATTTATTATCAATTATTTTCGAAAATCCGTAAATCAAAGGCAGGACTTGATTAAACAAATATTAAGAAGGATGTCTGTTTAGCTTATATAAAGCACTGGATTTAAATAAAATAATTTTTGGATATGACATTATAGCAAATTAGCCGAGTTCATTTATGATTTCTTGCAAGGAAAGGTACGAACATGCGCCATAGCATTATGCAAGGAGCATGCACATGCAGAAGCGGTCCGTTGCCTCATTCCAATCAGATCATATTTCATGCTTACAGGGTGTCTAAAAAAAACGCTATGGAAATTAAACAGGCTGTCCTGCATCATAAACGTGGCTAAACAATTCAATTTTTACATAGGACGAAAGAACACTTATTTAGCTTTTCAATGATACTCTTTTTAAATCGTAACGATGAGAAATGGCCACATATACTCGTCAAATAAAAATTGCCCGTCGAAATCACATTCTTCCACCGTTTGGAATTGCATGGAGAACAAAACATAGACAATTCCCAAGAGGGAATTATTAACGTTGAATATTAAATTATCTAAAATGATCTTAACACGTCAATCTTCGTCTTGGTGAGACAATAAGAACAACGTACAATCAACGTTTTTGCCCGAATTTTTTCTAAAAATATAAAAATTTCCTGCAAAGTCTTTCATTGGATTTATTTATATGACGCAGATTAGTATTTACATCATAGCTAGTTTGTATAAATTAAAAGGGCACCTTCGATCTTAATATAGTATTTACAGCAGCGTGCATTAAGGCGGTTTTCCACTAGGCGAAATTTTTCGACCGAATCGAAATTTCTCTTTGTTTCACGAGCTCTCGAGCAGAACTAATTGTAAAAAGACAAAGAGAAATTTCGTTTCGGTCGAAAAATTCCGCCTCGTGGAATCAGGCCTTTAGTTGGTACAAAAAGCGCACTTTTCATCCAATAAAAGGAAACTTTGAAAGGGGGGGAGGGGCGAGGCGGAACGTTAATTAAAATATATGTATTTTAATACATCGATCTGCTGTTAAGATACCTTACTCTATTGTATGCATGCAATTTTAAGTTAATGAACACAAATGTTAGCTTGTCATTCATTTTCTCTGACTAAACATTACTGAACATTAATGTACCAACATCATTATCATGGGATAAAACTCCATATCAACAGCTAGCTTTAAATGATCGCGACTGCTACAATGAAATGGAAGTCGGACTTTAGTGCAAGTCATAACTGCTGCATGAACTTGTCTAGCCTGTTATTACATTACATACAGTTATTTATATTTATCAAAATTCACATTTACCTGAAAAGCCTTGCTTGAAAAAATAGTTTGCTTTTATCTCCAACTACTTCAGCAGCTTCTGATCAATTCGAAGACAGGCACCCACTCTTATAACCTCGTACCGCGCAGTAGACCTTAAGGCTCTGGGAACGAAGATGACGTCATGTATATCAGACGCAGGAAGTCGTTCAGTACACGTGCAGGCTCATTTTCCCAGGAAATGGGTAGCAGTGTTTCAGCTCGGCGATAAAGATTTTTTTATTGTTCATGTACGAAGGCAATTTGCGTCGGAACCTTTGACGTTTGTGTCTTCACCGTCTCCACCGCTCGAGTGTCGTACTCTTTCAATTTAACTTCGGTTATTTTCAATTTCGGTTTTAAATTAACATTGTGAGGATTTCCGATTATAATTTATAGAATTTAAAACCATAAACATCCACAAAATGCATTTAGAATTTTGGAATCAACACTCCCCTTCGCTTATATTTCAATGTTGGGAGGCAATTATCTTTCTAAAAGAAATACAATGTGACAGTATGATATTTGAATTAAACAATGTCACAGCACCAAACAACTTCTAAATGGCGGAAGGGCCTGTCTCAAATATTTTGATGACTATTGAAGAATTTAAGGCGAAATTTATGCATTCATCAGTTAATGTTCACTTAATTAGTCAAATAAAACATTTAATCGGGTTATCTCTATATATGCCGACTTATATTACACTAGACAGAACTTTTGGCTAAAACTGTCGCATGGAACCTGCTTACAACTGGAGTGGTTACACAGTAGATAGATAAACTTTATTTGAACACGCTGACCCCGTCAACCGAAGCTGATTTCCACGAGGAGCGTGCGAAAAGTATACAGAAAAGAATTTTAAAACTATTTACAAAATTATATATGATATATAGTATTATATGAACTAACAAACTAATGTAATAATCTATATACAGGTAATATTAACATCTATGTTTTCAATTAGCTATCAATCAATGTGAGTAGCGATTTTCTTTCGAAAGGAAGAAAAGGATTTTCTCTCTGTTTTTTCTTTAGGAATAGAATTCCAAATGTGTGCTCCGTCATACAAGAAACTTTTTTTCATATTATTAGTACGTGATTGTGGTAAACAAAGACTACTTGAAATGTTCCGAAGTTTGTAGTTTGTCACCTCACCCTTATATGTGAAGAGATTACTGAGTGATTTGGGTCCCATTTTATTCAATAGTTTGTACATGATTTTTGCTTTACTTTTCTTCCTTTCTGTTTTAAGTGGCTTCCAACCCAACGCTTGCAATGCAACAGAATGATCTATGCATTTGCTCATATTCAAAATAATCCGAGCAGCTCTGTTTTTTAGTTTTTGGAGTCTTTTTTATTGCGTTTCTCCAAACACATCCCATACTTCACAGCAGTAGCGTAATCAAAATATGGGCGAACAATAGCATATAAAGAAAGAAGTGTTTGCTTAACAGCAAATTCTTTTATTAAACGTCTAAGAGCCGATATTCCAACCTCCTACCCAGGGCTAGCCGCGAATTGAATACGGCGGCGTAGCCCTGGTAAACGCTGGTCACGTGACTCCAACATTACGTAATTGGTACTTTTCTCTACCGGGGGGTGAATGCTACACTGTAAATTTCAAGGAGTTGAATCAAGTCCAAAAGAGTTATTCTGTCACCAAAAACGGTGACAGAATGACACTTTTAGAGTTGATTCAACTCCTTAAAATTTACAGTGTAGAGGTGAAATTCGAAGGCAAACAGTTTTTATCTCCGAAATTCTTCAATCTTCTCTGTAAATTCTGCATTTCAAGCTTTTCTCAAAGTACGGCGATCGATCAAATGGATCAATACTTTCTGTAGAAAAAACTCAGTGAGATTTGTACGTACGAGACGTTTGAAAAACTTGGATACGTCGCTGAGACGCTCGATCATTTGCACAGGTTTATGGTTTTAATAGTACTTTGTTCAGTTTGTCGCGACTTGCGAAGCAAATGAATGCAAATTCAACTCTTGTATAATGACTAAAAGGGACAACTTATACAAAAGATATGATATGAATACTTGAGCTTCAAACTAGGGACAAGTTCATGGACATCCCTAATATATGGACATTGATATTTCACCAATATGTAAATATGAAGTCATAAAATATATAAAAGGATTCGGCTGTTGTATATATATACAAGTGTTGTGCTGTGGTATTTACATTTTTAACCCTTTAAGTGGCAATGAATCGTACTTTGTTAGTTTACTCTGTCTAACGCCAGAGAATTTTACTCGTCAGGTGGACAGTGCATGCCGCCACTCAATGGGTTAACATAGTCGATGAACATGCCAAATGATCCTTGACCGTGGTAGTGCATTTTTGCACTTGCTTGACGATATCGTAACCAAGTATTATTTCAGAGGAAGAGCCCTGAGATCATGCTGTGTAGCAATTGGAATCTCGTATAGAGCCTGCTGTTGCATAAAGCAGGCAAATCGGCAAGACCTTCACTCAGAAACCAGGATTAATATTAATTCCCCACATAAATACTTGCAAACCGGACTGTCCCATCTGCCATATGCAAGAAAAAAAAACATGCAGCCTGGACTTAACTGTTAAACAACCAAATGAGCATGATAAATTGTAAACAGTGTGATAATTTTTGCTTAGCCCAAACCAAAGCCAGTTTTCTAGAATTAATTTGCAGAATCCTAAGAATTGGACTTCCAACTTGAAGACCTAGCTGTGCTAACCAAGTTTCATGGGAACCCTGAATTGAAGTGACTAGAGCAAATCTTCAAAAAATGATAGAGAGATCAGATTTGACTTCCACTACTGCTATTGCTATCATTAACTATTAACCAGATAAGTTTCATTTATCCAATCAAACAATTGGATGCAACTGCCAGATCAAGTTGTGGTGTGGAAGTCAAATTTGAACCTTTCTATATGGATTTCAGAGAGACCAGTCATTATTTGCTGATATATTATTACAATTACTTGTACAATCAAAAGCTACAGTAACTATATATTCATTTATGCACGCTCATTCCATTACTGGCTACGTCACAACGATTTCAATGCTGTGATTGGCTGAACGCACGCTCATTAATTAGTGTTTATTTTAACTGAATCACGGCTCATTTCACAAATACGGACGGGGACGGACGTAAATTTATCTTTTTGAACTATGACTATAAGATCGAAGCGAATACTATAATTACATTACATTACATTACATTACATTACATTACATTATATTACATTACATTACATTACATTACATTACATTACATTACATTACATTACATTACATTACATTACATTACATTACATTACATTACATTACATTACATTACATTACATTACATTACATTACATTACATTACATTAAATTACATTACATTACCACAGCGATCAGCGCAAGCGCGCGACGATTGGACATATTTACGTTAGTCTATATCGAAGGAATGTTGACGAATGACGAACATATAGGTATATAGAATCGAGTATGTCGTTGCTTACATAATGTTTGTAAGGCCACGTCATTGGAATCGGGTTAGTCGAATGTGTAAGACAAAGTTAAGGCAAATAGAAAGCCAAGCACGGTTTACACAAGGATTAAATTAGGCAGTGGAATATTAGCGCTTTTTTACTTTGGGATATATTTGTCGAATATTGAAAGCAAATTGAATGTCATTACCAATATATATGAGATCGATTATGTCGTTGTTTAAATAATTCAATCATCACTAAATAAAGTATATGTTGATCTTTTTCAAACTCCGCCGGAAAACATCGTCCTTAGATCTTTGCATGGACTATCCTTGAAACTCAAAACTTCACGAAAATTGTATATACGCAGCCTGTAAACCTGATGCTTTGTCTTTGATGTATGCTGTCCTTGAACAATTTTTATTTCGGCGTGTGATGTATTTTGTTTCGTATACATATTAAAGACCTTGTACTGTTCTGTCTGTTCAGTGTGCAAATTATTTTTGACACATTAAAATACTTTGTAACTTCTTAAATCTGTTTATGCTTATTGAAAAATGCACGTAACAGTCGTTTACGTATTATTGTCATATCTGATGTTCAGTATGTGATTAAATGTGTGTATAATATTTGAATTGTGTTCAATTTACTTAATACTTTCTTTCAGTAAATTCGGAATTTGACAATAGCAATTAAGGTGGAGTAATATACTAATATGGGCAACAAAATTGCTGCAACTTGCAACAAAATCTGATTTCTGCGTATGTTAATTGAAATGTTTTGTCAACATTTCTACTTAAAATGCGTTGAAATCAGATTTTGATGCAGAAATTTTGGCTGCAGCAATTTTGTTGCGCGTATTACTCCAACCTCGGTATTACTCCAGCTTTAACAACAATTAATGCAGGCTACCCACATGTACGCAGCGCGTACCTATTTTTGTGACATAGAACTGACATTTGAAGTAAATAGTATTTTTCAGGGAGGTCGCGTAATTTTGAAAACGGGCGTAAAAGGGAGTCTATAAATTTGCGAGAAATATGCGAAATGAATACTATAATCGAATAACGATTTTTAGAAACTTCCTCGTATGACAACAATAAAAGTTAATAGACCGCTTTGATGTTTTGAAGGCCTGCGAGAGTTTCCCCGTTTAATAACACAAATATTTAAAAGGCAAATTCGATTAGAGTATATTAATTTCATATTTCTCGCAAATTTGTAGACACCTTTATTTAATACGCTCTCTTCGCCACGAACACAAAATAAACGAATTAACTCTATTTTCTTCTAATTATGATTAACACTAAATGGTATCTGCTATAAGAGCTACCCTATATCTATACAGGCATACAACTATTTACATGAAACGGCCACATTTGATATACGCACGAGTTTCCTCGACAATACTGGCACAAAGTCCCACATGGCTGAGCGTGTTCCTAAGATTGAACGCTGTTCATCAGTTTATTCAAAACAATAAATAAATAATAGTAATTTTTACCAACCTTAGCTCCAGGATATGATTATTCCTTGACCGACCTATTAATATCCGCAATTCCCGCCAAAACTCTCACGACTGAGTGCAATTCCCGCCAAAACGTTTACGACTGAGTCAGTACAGGACTGAGTCCATGTACCGTCGCTTGCAGGATGAACGGTCGCCAGTTGATAAAAACATTGCCTATTCGCGTGAGAATCTTCGATATTTGTCAAGAGCACTTGACAGGTTCTGATCTGATGTTAATCTGTTGAACAACCAGATCCAAGCTTTGAAACCACCAAATAATCATAAATGATCATCAGAAACATTGAAGTGTCTCGGTAAAAACATTGAACTTTGTCATGAGAATAGACAATACTTTACTGCGACCGTTCATCCTTAGTGCATTCAGTAAATGAGTCCGCCTTTTACATAACCTGACGTTCAGGCCCTAATCACAGAATAGGGCCTGACACAAAACCTATCTAAAGTGTGAGATTCCCGTCCACCTGGTGGACGGGAAATCTGATTGGTTGATCAGCATCATGAAGGATTTTGATTGGTTGCAAGTTTACATAAACAACAGTTTTAAAAATAGCTCGGTCAAGGCGACAATTAATATAAAGGTCAAACGCACGTACAAATTCCGTTATCGATTTCTTCGAATTTCTTTTTTTTTTATGCCTTATGGCAGAAAATAAATCAAACAAACAGTATTTTGAAAGGGCTTTATCAAAATCTTGGACGAATTTTGGACACACGACACCGAAAGAACAGCCAAACTAGTCATGTATTCGAAAGCTTGTTGTTGACAGCCAAGATGTTTTGCCAACTGGCTTCGGCGGCAAAAGTCTTATTTTTAATATCAGGTCCTACCGGCGTTGTTTTCTGAGCTACATCGCCTTCTTCGTGGTACGATTGAGAATTTCGTTGTTGCTGTTGTTAGCCCGTTTTAATAAAGTATATCCCTAATATCCGCGTCCAGCGAGTTGAGACCTTGAGAAAGCTTGGCAGTCTAGCCGTGCACAGAACTGACTAATTAAATCTTTGTCTGAATCTTATTTATATAAAAGTACCTTGAATTTTTAAGTTTAATTATAAAGCAAAATGCACACTCTGCGGACATGTCATGAGAATATAATTTTTTTGTGTAACGAAATCTATAACACTTGTCAATCATATTGCATGTTGTGTCTAAAAATAACATGTGGGCGTCCCACGGTCTAGACAGGTTTTGTGTCAGGCCCAATTTCAAATTAGGGCCTGAACTTCAGGTTCAACCTCGTTCCCAGGGCTTCAGTGTGAGGACGAGGCGAGACACGAGGAAGCCCTGGTCCGGGCCGGTCACGTGACGTCAAAAAATGGCAGTATTTGACAGCTACTTGTCAAGGAGTGGCGAGATATTCTTTAATGAAATATACAAGTCTTCGAAACAAATAAATAGCCAAAAGACTTCTCAATCGATATTATTTATGTGTAGAGCGAAGTTTGGCACGAATCAGCTAAAAATCTATGAAGACCCCGTCTATGTTTTCTAAGATATACCGATATTTCTGGAGATTTTCAACTACAGGCAAAGCTCTGCATCCAAGCTACATCTAGGCGTCTCCATGCAAGTGGTGATTCACACGAAATTTCCTTTCCCTCGTCTTGAACAATATAGCTATTGCTATAATTAAGATTTAGTTTAAATATGCTCTTATAGATCTGACTTAGTTCAATATATTAAATAAACACAAATATAAAACCTCGCGTAACCTGTTTACGCTGTCAGGAATATACGGTTCGCTTGTTTCGCCGACACCAACACTTGCCGTTCAGGAGCAATGCTTGCCTACAAATTTTATCCCCTTCACAATCTTTGTTTTATTTATCGTATAGTCGCAATTTTCAAGTATTCGGACTATTCTGAAACTGAAAAACTGGGTGGCGTGCGAATCTTGTAGAGACTACATCGACATTGGCCTAGGCGTAGAGCTGTTAATTAACATGGCCTAAATTAATTTAGTAGTTTCATTTAATTGTTTGTCTTGCTTTTATTTGTCAGTACAGAATATTGTAAATTAAAATATTACTACAATGCAATACGCGTTGTATTTCATCAGACATCTGCACTAATAAATACTGTACAAGGAAAACTACAGCTTAAATATTAATAGTAGACGTTTCTTGTTTTGTCAGGAAACATCACAGTTCACTTCGACACGGCTTTTTAGTTTTGTAACCGGCAGAGGCGAAAGTAAATCATGCAGTCGGGAAAACGTCTTACTTTGAAAGATTATTTTGCAAAACATACTCGTACACACAAGAATCGTACAAAAATTCAAAAGTTGAATTGTTATTGTCAACTGTCAAATTCAGTTATTTTTAGACAATATGGTGTTAGCCAATCAAAATGCAAAATTGACCGGCCCGGACCAGGGCTTCCTCGTGTCTCGCCTCGTCCTCACACTGAAGCCCTGGGAACGAGGTTGCTTCAGGTTACCTTTTACAAATCACAGCCTGCGATTTGTAAAACACGGACTCAGTCCGCGTTTTACAAATCTTAGTTCGCGATTTGTAAAACACGGACTCAGTCCGTGTTTTCCCGGTCCAGTCCAGTCCAGTCCGGTCCAGTTCAGTCCAGTCCAATCCGTCTTTTACAACATGCCGTTTTATCGTACTTAATTTAAAAAATGACCCATCTTATGAGTTCATTGGCGAAGTAATTTTAAAAATAAACATTGTCTATGCCGAGAAAATCAAAGCTGAAGTTTATGTAAATCAGGACAAATCTTTAACCGATTTACAAACATTGATTAAACTTTCATTTCTTTTGTATTTTCCTCGTGAATTATTAATGAATTTGTTAAACTTATATATATAGCATTGACATTTATATTACAGTGAACTATAATTGCTGATGTTTTATGATTATTGTCCATTATTTTTGGTGCCCTCCCCCTTACCTTTCATTGATATGTTTGGTAGCACCCCCCCCCCCCTAAGTGGTTAATAAATTTTTGGTAGCCCCCAAATATCTTGCGGCTCCCCCCCAGCATTAATTATGACTGCTCCCTTAGAAATTGTACTCATTATAACGCATCATAAATTGTACTCAGATTCAAACAACACAATGATTTTGTAAAAGTAAAACTGTATTTTGGGTTGGGTTTAATTTGCACTTTACAAGTCAATTTAACATTATTTTAACTTTAACACTCTAATGGACATGCCAAATTGTAAATAAAAACATGGCTACTTAATTATTATAAGGCAAGTGCACAAAAAATGCACTAGACGGGTAGTTTAGACATTAATAAAACGTTTTCTAACATTTAAAATCTAACACTAAGAAACAGAATTAAAAATTATCGTTTTAGACCGGGAGGCGTGTGAACATTTCTTGAAAAATTGTCGAATTCCGAAATTAAGACACAAGAGTTAAGCAAACTATCAAAGAGTTAAGCATTTGCACACGCTTAAATTGCAGAGTAAATCATTACCCTTAAATATAGACATATAGTGAACGCAAAAATTATACATGCCCCGCAAAAAAAGTTATTGAGAAAAATGTGGATCAGTCACCTTTGGTTCATTTTCTTGCATAATACTAGGCTACTTCTTGCACACGTAGACTGTAATTATTTCTTGTTTTTAGGTTGTCACATTCATTATCCCACTTGCGTTTTCACAGAAAAGACAAAACATCGAAGTAGCTCCTTGTCGCTTCCATTTTGAGTTTTTAACAACCTTCGGAACGCTTGTCTACTTGACACCACGTCAGCAAGGCAAATTTTAGTGAGGTTGACGCATGCACAGACGTTTTTCCGTGGTGTTGGGGCACTTTGTTTTCTACTCTCTAGCCTCCCTCTCGCGGCTCCGCAGTCTACCCCGAGGGTGTATACCTCGCTGGGGGTATGGTGACGCTTTGTATTGCTTCATCTGCTCACCCTCCTATAGGCCTAAAATTTCGGGCACCACCCCAGTAAAAAATGAAACTCCGTCTATGAGGACGAGTTACATAATCTTAATTGCCGCCACATTGAGCTCCCTAGCTAAGACTAAATTCGCACAGAGAGACCGTGAAGTGTATGCCAAACGAAAGGTTCAAGAATCACAAACGGCTATATTACTGACAAAGTTGCTCGTCGTTTAAATGTTGACTCCAATGAACTTCAAACGTGTCAAAACTGCACAGACCTTGACGCAATTATAGAAGGGATCAAAGAAAAATGCTCCACCTCAAACATGGAAGCCACACTAAAACTTATCACTCTCGCGTCGCTCTCTTGGACAATACAAAAAACTGCGAACGAGTTCGGGGTATCTAAGGTCATGGTGAACGTCTGTGCATGCGTCAACCTCATTGAAATTAACCTGAGTATCAGGCCAGTATGTTTTCATTCGCCAGGATTAATTGGCGGCGGCGAACGAAGGAGGGCCTGACACAATTCTTTACCGCGGCGCATGTAAAAAGCCAGATTCTGGCTTTTTCGTCTGATTGGCCGATTAGACAAACGATTTTTTAAATCTGTCATTTGGTTGGCTGGTGCTAATTAGATTATACTATTGTTGTTGATATATTTTATAACGATCACAGCACAGGCAGCCCAATCTCTGAACGTCCTATATATTTTGAATATTTAACCGTTATAATATTTTAAAATAAGAAAATAATTAAAAAAACATTAACAATATATGTAAAAAATATATCTGACTTGTTAATAGAATCCATTTGTTGTGTTTCTGAGTCTAGTTGATGCGATTGCTTTACGTTTTCGTCGTACTTGAACCAGTGGCGTAACGGGAGGGTGTCAGGGTGTCCAGAGACGGGGGGCCCCCGAACTTTAGGGACCGCCAACAAAAATAACCTTAAAAAATTTGATAGCACATTTCTGGGGAATTGAATTAATTGAATTGAATAAAAAAAAACCATTCTCTGGAAAAGGCAAAATCCGTCGAGAAATTTCCCGAAGCTGCGACGGAGTAAGTACGTCGCGGCTGAGGTAAAGGACAAGATACTAGAATGAATTAATCGCAATTTCATTGGGTATGTCCGGAAAAAATTTTGGACCCCTAAAATGGTACAATGTCCGAACATTTTTGGCGACGGGGGGGGGGGGGGGG